CTGCCTCCCCCACCCCCAATTGCAACTTTGCCTGTCTTAATCCCAAACTGCTCCCGAGCAGGCCTGCGACCAAGGCAGCCTCTTCCCTCAGCCCCTGGACCTTGGGGCTCTGAAGCTTCGGTCCAAATTCTCTCATTGTTCACCTTATTTTAGCAAATGTTGTACAAAATAGCTGGCTCCGTTGTGCTGGTACTTATGATGGCAAGATTTTGCCTACTTTTGGAAATTTTTACAATTTATGTTCAAAGTAGGAAGGTGTCTTGTCTGGTTGGGTTTTCCCCCTCCCCTTTAAAAAAGTGATGAGACCTGCAAATAAATATACAGTGTTCTCCTTGACCTTGTTCAGTTTTTAAAGTGGGTGGAGTAGAGTCCTACTTTTTTGGGTTTTATTGTCAAATTTGCCATTGGGAAACAATATCAAGAACTCCAGGAAGAGACAAAGCATATAAAGAGCAATTTTAAAGAGAATATTCTAGGTGGTTAGAGCTCGTATTGACGCCGACCAAATCGCTGTAGAAAGTCGTGACTCTCCTCTGTACAGCAGGGTTAATTATATTCGCAGAGCACATTGGAAGTGCCTGTTGAAAACTGTTGGGTAAGTGCAAGTATTGCTCATTATTAACCCTGCCTCGCAGTTCCTTTCTTTCATGAGAGAAAGGGGGAGTGGGTGTTTAGCAGTTCAACACTTCGTCTCCCGCTAGGGATAATTGCTTGATTTTCTTTTATTGTTCAGGCACTTCTCGAATTAGATTAATTTCTCTAAAGTCCATCTCTGTCTATTCAAGATAGCAATTTCTTTGGCTAAAAATATAACAAGACATGATACTCATTCGCATATAAAAAGTGGACCAAACCTCCTTTTATTTCGAAACCTGTTATCTTGGAAAATGTTCTTTCCAGCTGAGCATTTAAGATCCCACCATTGGGTTTGCTCCATCACAGAGCACTTACAGGTTCGCTGTGCCCACAGCTGCATCTCTGCTGCCAGAGCAGAGGTGCCAGTCAGTCCAGGCAGTGCCTGCACAGAGCTGCCAGTTCAGGGATTCTGCACCAGACAATGGCAGCATTTCCATTACACCCAGGGCTGGAGCACCTCTCAGGCTGAGATTGGAATGAACTCGCCCGATGCACCAAACTATCTAAAACAGCAAGATTCTCTGAGCCCCCACGAGTGGTACTTGCTTTCTTACAAGACAACAAGCCTGCCTTTCAGCCGCCACTGCAGTCAGTGCTCAGTGGTGTCTGTGTTGCTTCAAAAGGGCCCTGTGGGGCACGTTGCCTGTGGAATGGTGTGTGCATCTGTGTGCGCATGCGCGTATGTTAATGAGTTGGATCTGGAGTGTCTAAAACAGGCTTTAAATAAACTAACAGATTAATAAATTCAGTATCTAACAGTACCTCAACCAGAACAAAGAAAAACAGGACAATGATTAGTGAAACGAGTAGGAGTACTAGTATTTACCAATAGATACACAGAATGAGCATAAATTTAGTTCTGAGTTTCTTGGCAGTACAGTGAGCATGTTTTGGATTATGTAATTATTGTTTCATAATAAAAAGAAAGCAACAAAATTGATCTGGGAAGATAAACATTTTCCTGGCAGAAAATTCTAAGATGAACTTATTTCACAGGATCGTCTATTAGACACGTAATGAAGAGCGTCTTCAACTGATACAGAAATATTCACATAGATGTTGTAAATACCAGCCCTCTGTAAAAGATGACGATGTATATGAAATGGTTCATGAAGACTTTGCCGAGGAGCCTGTATGTCTGGTGTTCTGCCTTTCCTAGGGGGCTAACCTAGCTAGTCTCACAGAGGGTCCCTAACTGTGACCAGTGGGTCGGTACACCCTCTGGACCTGCTGCTTCTTAGCCAACTCACTGGTGCATTCTCTTGTCTGAAGTGCATTCCAATTGCTGATCGCGGGATCTGAAGGAGGCAGGGTCCAAACTCCAAAATGAAGATCAGTCCGCCTCTGCACAGAGTTGGGCTTTGGGGAGCTTGCAAGAAGGGCCAACTTTTCCTAGAGTAGCTTTCAACCTGCCCTCACTGCTCTCACGTTTAGATGCACACTGGGCCCCCAGAGCATGGAAGAACTATTTCACTCAAATGTGTTTAATGGAATGGTTGCATTAAATGCCACGAGGGTCCAGGCAGGAAGTGAGGGAGCCAGGCAGCCGGTGTTGGGGTACACAGGCCCTGTTTTGTGTCAGGGCTGGGACTGGCGAAGTGGCTGAGGGGCCACCTTCACTCAGCTCTGACTGATGGATGTCCCCACGTGTGAACTGTGGCCCAGGATTGCCTGAGCTTCCAGTTTCAGGAGAGGCTAGAAATCTTGATGTTTGCAAGGTACCTGCTTAATCAACTATCTTAACCATAAAATAGCCTCAGATTGGCCCAACAGAATTTCAGATTTTTAACAATTTCAGATTTTGAATCTTGATTTCAAAAACAATCAAAGTTGCTTTCCCTGTGAGCTCGTTTAACTGACCTAGTAAGTGGGAATGGTCATTTCCCCCCTTTTAATTGTTTGCATCCCTCCCCCCATACCTACAATGATTTTCATTCTAATGCAGATGGTGTTGAGCTGGTTTCTTGCAGTTCAGCATGCTCACCCTGTTGCTTAATGTAGCACCACATTTGTGGGCTAGTACCATGGACAGTTACCACAGTTGTTGAAGCTCCACAGTCTGAAATCTGTTTCTGGACCACCTAGTATGTTAGCCGGTGCCGATTCTGGGATGTATTATTAGGGATTTTTTTCGATGTGTGGTTTTCATTAAATGGTGTACTCAAGTAATTAAATTATGTGATTGTTTACATTTGTCTAATCATTTTTTTCAGTTTTATTGAGATATAATTGACATATAACACTGTGTAGTTTTAAGGTGATGACTTGATACACTTACGTGTTGCAAAACGATGACCACCCTGGCATTTAGCCAACACCCCCATCCCCTCACATAATCACCATTTGTTTTTTGCAGTGAGAACATTTAAGATCTACTTTCTTAGCACCTTTCAAGTATATATGTCTGGTCACCTTTCAATAAGGAGGGGGGGGAGTAACAAAAATTAATACTATGTATTGAGTCTTATTTTGTGCCATGCATTGTGCAGAGTGCTGTAGCTATAGTAACTCGTGTAGTTTTCACAAAGCTCTTTAAAGCAGGTATTATCAATATCATGATCATCATCATTTCTACGTTATAAGTAGATTTGGGTACTCGGGTTGGGTACCTTAAATAAGTTGCCCAAGGTCCCACAGTCAGTAAGTTTTGGAGCCCAAATACAGCCAGGCAGTCTGACTTAGCCCCAAGCCCAGTAAAATAGTTTTCCTCTATTGAAAAACAGGCATTATTTTGGATCACACAGTGCCCTGAAAACCCAATGACAGTAAAGAACACAATCCAAAGAGCACCGAGGAACATCCTTGTATTCCCTCCCACCTTCCTTCCACCTTGTAATCACTCAGAAATGAATTATGAGAAGAGTCTTACAGAAATTTACAATATGTTTGGGGCTTAAGCATATGTTGAACTTGCTGCTTCCACCAAGAGTCAAGGTTCACAATTCTTCAGCCAATGGACACAAACCTTCCTGGTATTGTCTTGGTTTAAGGGAACACATTTCCCCATTTCTTTCCAGACACAGGGAGGAGACCAACCTAGAGCTTGTGAGCAGACTGAATATTGCTTAATTTGGGAGATGTAAGCTCTTTAATAGTTGAGTGTAAGGATACTAATATACTAATTTTCTTAGTATCCCAGTGTTTTCGATAACTATAAATATCATTAAATTTTAGTATAATTTTTATGAGTAAAGACTTTAACAAGGACCTAGTCTAAAATACAACTTCCCTTTTTTAATTCATGGTTAAATCAATGAGAGCTATTTGGCAAAAGCTCAGAATTATCCCTGCTAACTTGTTTTTAATAGTACTTGATTTATATCTGTGGTCAGAGCTACAACACATGCATATATGTGTGTTTACTAATTGCAGCCATATGCATTTGAACACAGTGTTATTGGTAGGAAATGAAGCATAAAACATGAAGAATGTATAATTATTAAGGGTTGAAATGATAGTTTTTAACTCCTTCTGGGACAGGTATGTTATGATATAATTTTGATTGTCTTTCATTACAGATGAGTGAGGTTCCTGGGTAGATCTGGTGATCAGTGTCTTACCTTTCTAATTAACTGTAAAATTCTTCCCCCTAATGGACATAAGTGAATTAACATACTAGTTTTCCCATCAATATGTGCTTTTCCTTGGACTCATGCTGTCCACCAATTCGGAGAGAAGTGGACTCTTCAAAACAAGACTGAACTTTAGAGAGACCAGGGAGAGGACTTTGGCTGCTTTCTGATCTCTCTAATCTGGTTTTATAAATACAATAAAGCACATAGCAGCATTTAATATTCACCACATACTGTTTAAAACTGAATGCATCTGCATGTGTGTGTGTCATAGTTCTGTGGAACAGTCCCGTTAATGACTCTGACTTTTATTTTAGACAATCCACGGACACAAGGGCCCGATCACTGCAGTGGCCTTCGCTCCTGATGGGCGCTATCTTGCCACCTACTCGAACACTGACAGCCACATTTCCTTCTGGCAGGTAAGCGAGGATGCTGCAGGCCCTAAAGGGTACAGCATGATCTGCTGGGAAAGGCTGCCTGCGGCTGCCAGCCCTCTCTCCCTTCTTCAGCCAATGCCAAGCATTTATGGCTTGCTGATTATGTGCCCGATGCTAGCATGCAGGGTACACCGAGGACGCATGTAGCAACCTGGAAAGGGGGCGGTCTGCTCTCCCAGAACTTAGTCTCAGGGAGGCACAGGTAAATAAGAAAGCAACGCCAGCATGGAGAGGAACCTGAGGCCAGGTTGTGGGGTGGCTTCATGAGGAAGCCACGTCTGAGCCGAGATATGCTGATGCTGAGGCAGGGTAGGGGGGAGTGGGTGCTCAGGGAGAGGTACGCAGGGCGTGTTGAGAGGGCCTGGCCTGGAAGAACTGACGAATATGAGGCATCCAGGCAACTCTGACAGGGCCTAGGGCGTAGGGAGAGAGGCAGCCTCGTGTTAACGTCGTGTCCGTTTACAGCATCTCATTCTGTGTGCATCCGGGATTTCCCACATTGGGCTCTTCATCCCCAAATTATCAAAACATTTTTTAAAACCCGAGCAGCATTGACTGGCATGAGAATGCCTGTTTTATTCTTATTAAAATGAGTATTAATTTTAAACAACTAATTTTTACAGTAGATCCTTTTTTACCACCAGTGATTAATCTCTGTCCAATCTTCTTTTTAATTATGTTACTGCTGATAATTACAAAAAATTACATATTACCAACTCTCTCCCTCTCCCTCCCCTCCCCCCCCCCAAAATAGGTTAATTTAAAATTTTGTTGTTGCCTTTACTTTCCTAGGATGCAAGTATGTTTAATGAGCACCAGAGCGAGTCAGGCAACACCCAAGTCTCTAAACCCAACATTAGAATTTAAAATGCAGCCCATGTCTCACGTGCTTACATTATACCCAGATTGGAAGTCACAGAAACATTATGTCAGCCGATCAAGAAAACATAGTAAAGCCTCTTCCAGAGGTGTAGGGAGTTTTTATTTGAATTGAAGAGAGTCCAGAAAGTAGTGTTGGATCTGCTGCTGCTGTCCCCACATGGACTTGCTGATTTATTTAGATGCATATTGTTTAGTTCGAATGATGTATGATATCACACTCTTATATCATTCCAGTAAATCTACTGTAATATATTTTGAAAACTTAACGAGGTCTTATTAATAGAGAACCTTACAAAAGCCATCAGCTATTAAAATCTTTGCTGAGAAATGAGTGTTAATGAGAAGTATTGGGTGGATAATTACTCAAGTGAGACTTAGTAAAAGGCTGTGTGCAGCATCAGTTACTCTGAGAGTAGCAATAAAACACTTCCTGTTTTGATGAATTACATCTGTATGTGTTTCTATGTGTCCAGAAAATCAGCACCCTAGGACTGGTTTGTGAAGCATTGTTTTTAAAGGGAAGGGAAAAGCCACAGTTACATTTTCGTTGGTTTACAAAGCCAGCCATTAAACGATGTGATTTGCTAATCTTTCGATTCCTTTGACTCTCCAACAAGGTATTTCTATGATTTGAATATTTCAGTTTATCTTACTCATTGATATTTGATCAAGGGGAGTTTAGTAATGAAATACAACCACAATTCTCTCACATAAATTTTGCCACCACCCTCTAACAAATAAGTATCTTCTTTCATAAATGCTAATAATAAATTAGATGGATATTGGTTTCATTTGTTTTAATTTATTCCATCATACAGTAGAATGCTATTCAGCCATTTAAAAAGGATGATGTAAATCTATAGTCATTAACATGAAAAGATTGCCCTCAACATTTTGTTGAATGAAAAAAAGCAGATTGTGAGACTGCCTTTTAATGTGAGCCTGTTTATGTAAAGTCCTTTACATTTTAACTTCTCCTTATGTATATGGAAGGTCTGGAAGGTGTTTACTGAACTGTGCTTATCTCTGGGCAGTGGGATTTCAGGGGATTTTGGCTTTCTTGTTTATACTTCTCTTTCTTATTTCAATTTTCCACGATGAGTATTTATCTTTATGATCAAGAAAACATTTAATGTTACCAAACATTACAACTCCAGGTCATTTTCCTTCATTTAAGGCTCAAATCGCCCTCACTTTAGCAGAGCTTATAGCCAGTCAATGGCA